ATAAAAAACTTAAGTTTTACAACAGAGATTAATAGTCTTGCTACATAAAAAACTCTCATAAATTAGTAGCAAAAAGAGGTTGGATGTGGTGGCTCGCACATGTAATCCTAGCATTTTGGGAAGCTGAGGCAGGAAGATCACTTGAGGCCAAGAGTTTGAGATTAATCTAGACAACATAGTTAGACCCCATCTCTACAAAAAATATAACAAATTAGCCAGGTGTGGTGGTGTGTGCCAGCTACTTGGGAGGCTGAGGCCAGAGGATCACTTGAGCCCAGGAGTTTAAAGTTGCAGTGAGCTATGATCATACCACTGTACTCCAGCCTAGGTGACAGAGCGAGACCCTGTCTCTAAGAAATAATAATAATAATAATTAGTAACAAAAAGACAAAAACTAAACAGAAAAAAATGGACAAGAGCTAGGTACTAACAATAGAAAAAGAAATACAAATGTTCAATAAACAAAGATACTCAACATTTTCCAAGAAAAGAAACTGAAACAGTAACATCTCTTTTCACCTATTAAATTAGAATACAAAATTTTAATGGTAGTATCCAGTGTAGATAAGGGTCTAAGGAAAGGAGAACCCTCATGCTTTTCTGGTAGGAGAATACATCCATACAACTATTACGCGGGCAACTCAGAAATGCATAATCAAAAGGCTTAAATTTTGACCCAGAAATTCTACTTCTACAAATTCATACTATGGAAATCACACACATGGGCAAAGATTTAGCTACAAGCATGCTTATTATCGCACTGCTTATAATAATGAGAAATTGAAAACAACTTAAAGGAGTAACATTTAGGGCACTGGTTAACCTAAGGAATTGATTAAATTATGGCATGTGCATATATTTTATTCTTTGCTGCTACATAAAATGATATAATAGAACATCAATAAATAGAGTATCAATATATCTCAAAAACATGTTGAAAAAATTCAAACACAAAAGAGTACGTACTACATTATTCCCTTTATATGAAGTTCAAGAATGGACAGAACATATGTCTAGTGCTAGAAGTCAAAATTGCAGATACCTGCTATTGTGGTAACAATATATTAGTGGTATTGACTGGCAGGGGGCATGAAGGAGTTTTCAGGGGCAACAGAAATGTTCTAGACCTTGATCTAGGTAGTGGGTGTCTACATACGTCATAAAATCTGTCAAGCTGTTTGCTTAAGATTTCTGCACTGTATGTAAATTATACCACTATCATAAAATATAACATCATAAAATGATGTTATAATGGCTCGTAAACACAGAAATCGATGCTCAACCTCACTGTTAATAAGCAAAATGCATATTAAAACTACGAAACACCATTTTTACCTATCAAAAGGGCCAAAATAAAATAGTTAGACAATGCACTGCCTTGGTGAAAATGTGAGTAAATAGACATTGGCATGTACGACTGGTGAAGATCTATACAAACTGGGGCCAGCTCTGTGAAAGGAAACTGGCTCTTACATTTTTAAATGCATATACCTTATGACCTTCACTTCTAAAAATTTATCCTACAGAGATACTGAACATATGCAAAAAATATAAATACAAGGTAATTCAACTGTTGGTAACAGTAAATGATTAGAACAACCCTAAATGTCTACCAACAGAGGCCCAGCTAAATAAATTATGGCATGTCCCTAAAACAAATTATACAGTTGTTAAAAAGAAT